GATGTTTTTTTTAGTTTGTTCATCTATACTTTTATTATTTAAGTTTGGTGATATGTACTTTAATTTAGTTAAAATCCTATTATGCTTTTAATCAAAAATATTATCTTTAATCATATTTTAGGGAAAAATTTATAACAATATTTATTGGATCAGTTGGTTGATGAGTTAAATTTTTTTATTGATGTTTCAAGTTCGAGGTTTCCTCCTCTCTTTTATTTTAATATTTTTTATTTAATCAATGAAAATATTTTTTTGAAGACAAAAAGAACCAAGCATCAACCTCAAAAATTATGAACTCTAGTTCGTTACTGAATCGTTAAGAAACCAACACAAATTGGTTTGCAATTTTGATTTATTCTCGAATCATCAAGAAACCAACACAAATTGATTTTTTGATTGCTTAACAACATGAATTATAGAGTTTGAATGCAACTACTCATGCTTTTAATTCGGAACAATAATAACAATCTTAATAATTTAGTCATCTTTTTTGAAGTTTCGCTAATGATTTCTTTTAAAAAATTTCCTAATTATTTATGAAGTTCCTTCTGAATCATTAATCTTTTTAAGAGATAGCTAATTGTGTTTACTCTACGTTTACTTACAAGTCTACTTTTATACTGCAAATCTTTAATCACTCATACTTTGTATATATACACTATGCATTAGTTACATACATTTGATCATGTTCAAGTTCTAAACACATGAAAATAAAGAAAATTCATCATGAAAACGCTAGAGTATATAGAAAAGAAATCAACAATTTACTGAATTCTGAAAAAAGTAGAATACGTAGTCAAAATTTTGCAAAATGTAATGGAACAATATATTCGATTTCTTAATCTGCTAGATTCATATAAAATATTTCAAATATTTAGTTTTCTTAATTCTTGGAATTCTACAATAATTTAGAATTGATTTTCTAAATTTTTCAGAACATAGAGCAAATAGCAGAATACGTATTCTGCTATTTTTAGAATTAGCTTAAATAGAAGACGTATTCTAGAGTTTGTTAACAAATATTAGAACACATATAAGTAAGCCGAAAGATTAGATCGAGATAAAAATTACAAGCCTCACAGTTTACCACATCGATCGAAGTAAAAATTGATACGTTGTTAAACCAAAACAAACAAGTCTAAAAGCAAGACAACCACCATATAAACCAATCAACCCTCCTATTAAGAACAATCTAAGAGCAAAGCTTCACTCTTCGGGAACAAACCAAAGGCGACGGAAATAGAGATAATAAACTCTATAAATAGACTTCTTATGTTGCCGGACGAGTTTTCAAATTTTTAGTGTTAGAATTCGCCATGTGCCATCTAGAGTAAACCGTTTTCATTTTTTCAAATCCTTAAATGATGTTTTTTAGAAGTCCAATTGTTTCCCATTTTAAGCGATCAAATAACAAACGCAAAAGCCGTTTGAGTCTAGTTCTATAACCAGTAACAAAATATATTACTTCGACGTCAGAATATAAAGAGTTCGGAGATTAAGTGGGGGATTGGTTCGGCTGTAGCTGTAAATTAATTGTTGTACAATTTTGTCTGTAGACGTTTTTGCTGTAACTTTAAGATTTTACCTATAACTTTTTTAAATTAAAATATGATTGGTAAGTATTATATATATGCTGTAGAATAATTTTTTATTATATAAATTTTCCAAAATCAAATAAAAATATTGTAATGTATTTATATCGTAATGTATTTCTATAATAAAATCGAATAAAAATATTGTAATGTATTTATATAATAAAATTTTTTATTATATATATTTATATCGTAATGTTTTTTATTATATATATTTATATCATAATGTATATAAAAATATTTAACTAATATATATATCTATATATACAAATTTATTTTATACTCGCATCATAATATTGTTTTTATATAAAAAAATAATGAAATATACATACATATTTATAAATAGTTTATTTAAGGTGATACATTT